GATCGAAGGTTTTCCATTACATCAGCTCCTTGCTCGTTTGTATACTTTACTCAGCCAAAGGTTTTCAAGGATCCATGAGTTGTCAGATTTTTTTTTCTACTCCTTTTAACATTGAAAGTAGGGACTTGTCTTTGTCCTTTCCCATCTGTTATTTTGCATGTCCCATTCTGCCTTCTTGCTTTCAGGAAAGCAAGGCTTGTCAATTCAGTGAGACCAAACTGGTTATTGTAAAATAGTAAACAAAGGAGCTTGACTTGGAGGCTATGTAAATCTAAGCCTGCAGTCCTGGCCCTGTGTCCAAGCCTATGGCAGCATTCCCACTGTTATTAATGCTTCTATGAATGCTGCCAGCATTACCACTGGTGGTGCTGGTGCCTGCTCACAGCAGAGCAGCAGTGTGAGCTGGGCAGGGACGGCCAGAGCCTGCAGCTGAGAAATCTGTGAGCTATTGAGAGCATTCCTGAAATTGGTCAAGTTGTTCAAGTCTGCCTTTATCATTAACTTATTTTTGAAGGGATTGGGCAGTGGAAGAGGAGTGGATTTTTTGTGTTTGCGTTTTCAGTCTGCTCTTGGATTTCCCAAAGACAGATTTTGGCAGACAGTGGCTTGGCGGAGATGCATCTCACATGCTGTCTGGGTTTGGTGGTGTTTGAAAAAGAGGGGGCAGAAGAAAGCGAAGCTGCCCCAGCGCTTTGACTGGAAACTGCCAACCTGGAGAGAGCAGCAGCTGAGCAGCTGAACTGTGCCACTCAGTGCGGATCAGCTCAATAGCAGCCAAAGCTTTATTCTGCCCTTTTCAGTTATTCATCTCACTCCCACCACGGCAGCCTAGAGGAGCTGCATTTTTTTGTCTGTGTAAACCCAAAAGACAGTGTGGCCATTGACTCTCTTGCTGTTTCAGGAATGCGTCTTACAAAATTGTTATCAGCAAAATATCCTTCATTCTTTTTTGTTTTGGAGACAGGAAAGTATGTGTGTGTATGTATAGATTCAGATTTCTCCTATGCTTCCTTTACTTATTGTTTTTCTTAGTTATAGAAAAGACTGCTTTGGTGAGGTTGTGTTTAAATCTGAATTGCCATGACAGTGGAAACCTGAAGCTTACCAGCACGCTTGCTGCAAGGTTAATGGTGCTGCAGATGCTGGGCTGTCCTTCATCCTTAGGAGTGCTCCTCCTCATGAGATGCGTGTTAGCATCTGTGACCTCTGGGTTTCACTGCTGCAATTTGAGTTCAGAGAAGAATTTGAGGAAAAAATAGACTTTGGAAGGGAGGTTGTGCTCATATAGGCTGCACGTGTTTATTTGGGTCTGAAAGGTGGTACAGAGATCCACTTGGGGGGAAAGGAAAGGGTGTGAATTTAGCAAACGTGCACAGAATCTGAGCACCTTTCACAAAGAAAAGCAAGCTGCTTTTCTTCTCTCCCCAAACCCTTTTAATGGATATGCTTCTTTTCTACTTTTTCATGCTGCTGTAAGCGACCTCGTTTATTCATTTATATATTTATTCTTCAAGAGGGGATTTTTTTCCCCTAGCATTATGAGTCCCTAGCCCTAATTCTGCTATGATCAGGAGTGAGCTGGCAGTCTGGTCGAGATGGTGACTTCACGTGTGGTGCTGGAAAGCTGAGCTCTTGCTCCATCATCCCAGCCCCATTAAGAGAAGTGAGCCAACTGAAAGCTGCGTCACAGTGTCATCCTCCTACCTGAGAGCAAGGTCTGGTATTCCAAAGCCTTTCCTCCTGAGAACGCCACTCAGAGTAGACATTTTAATGTTAATTCTAATGCCTGAGAAGCATCTCTGATGCTGTATGCATGCAAAAAGAGGCAGTGAAGAAAGCAAAAACATACTTTTCTGTGAGCCTCAACTGTGAATGACTCCTGAAATAGCTCCTGTGACTCTGCAGCTCCAGGCTGCTGTATCTGTTACACTGAATATGGAGCTTAAGGTCATCAACTCGTTTTTTATCATCGTGCTTCAGCATAAAACAGAAATCTAGAGCTAACTATTGTATTTTATGACTAGAAGTGATGATGTTAGAGTAAATGACATACTCAAATGGAGTAATAAAAAAAAAAATCTAGACTTTTAAAAATATTTTTATTTTAAGAACCTAAATACCTCATTGGAAAAGTATTTAAGCTGTTTGAAGCTTGCCAAATGCATTAAATGGCCAGCAGAAACAAAACGTCACTGGGGCTCTCGTACAAAAATCTGTGGTTTTGGATTGTACCCAATTTTACTTATTCATCTCCTGCCTTCTCTTATTTGGGGCCAGTTCAGATAGTTTTGGAAACAGAGCATCTCCTCCTGCATGCACTTTGCTCAGAGTGACTTTGCTCAGACCCAACCAGTGAGGTTGCTCATGAGGAAGAACTCTGGCTGAATTTGCTGGGGCTGCCTGGGAATATGTAATAGCAAAGTCCTTGTTCTTTGGTTTCAACAACAGAGTCAAGGGACAAATCCCTGAGTTGTGCTACTTAAATAAAGAGAGCTGTGTAAGTGGGACTGGGCCTCCCACAGAAGTCAGTTCAAACAATGGGTTGCTCTTAGATAGACCAAGATACTGGTCCTCACAAATGAATCTCCAGCAGCTGGGATTTGAGGAAGAAGCTGGGGGGCTCTTCTGACATCTGTCAGCCTTTCCGTGCCTGACTTTGTTTTCCTGGTGTGTTTTTGTTTGTAACACAAGGCTGTATTGTTTTCTGTTGTGTTTAATGTAGCTTTATGTGAGTGTGTGGATGATAAGGTTTAATGAATTATACGGAGCACTCGGGCAGAGCAATGATTGCTGTGGCTCCTTGGGATTTCGTTGCAGCAGGTCAATGTTACCCATACTTCTGTTGCAGGAGCTGGTGGGCAATTGAAGCTCCTGGAGAACAAGAAAAGTTGAAAGCTTTCCTTATCAGACATTTTTATTTAATTATAGTTGCAGTCTTTCCCATTTTATGCTGCCGCTTCATCTTGCATTCAGTGCCCAGCATTTTGTTGCTGTGCTTGGATTATTATTTTTGTAGGAAGAATGTGAAAGGTGATCTAGGAAAGTACTGCAGGCTGACAGCACTCACAGAAAAAGTAACTGTATTGAGTAAAATGAGTTAGTAGGTGAGATGTGTGAGCTGGACAGATGGAAGGGAAGCCTATTTGCACACTGAGATTTGAAACCTTCTGGCTGAATTTGTTCGCTTCCAGTTAGGATTACTAAAATGTTCCATGATTTGGTATTTCATGGATTTATTGTCAGGAAACTATTGTCTGCCTGGAATAGTTCAAAGAATAACCCCACTCTGAACTGTATTCAATGGGAGCCCACTTCTCAGAATACATTAAAATTATTTGTTGCACTGTATTTCCTGAAATAGCAAAAAATCTTTTTAAGTTTGTTTTTTTTAAAGCAGTCTGTCTTCTTTCTTGGAAAGGTTTCTCAGAAACCTGGGGGAGGGAGCAAAACTTGATGCTTCTGAGTACCTGTAGCTACCATGGCAAGGTAGACAGCACAGGGTGAGGAAACCATAAGTGCCTGAAAAAGGAGTGTGGGCAGGATGGGTTAAGTTTGCAAAGCCAAATGGCCAGGCTCTGGGCTCTGCAGCAAGGGTTTCATCCCCAGTCATGCAGCAGGCTCTTTGGGGCTGAGGGTGGAATTCGAGATGGAGGGGGTGCATGGGAGCCAGTGAGCCTGGGTGGGTGGGTGGGTGGGTGGGTGGATGGATGGATGGATGGATGGATGGATGGATGGATGGATGGATGCCAGTTGTGAACAGGGATGAGAGGGACCTCAAGGCTCAAGTGACTGGAGGTAGGGAGTGATGGCGGGAGCTGTACAGAAAAGGGAGAAAAGGAAGAGCTTCTGTATGAAGGCCAACCACAGGAAAGAAAAGGCAGCTAAAATAAACAGATGGGATAGTCAGCTAGGGAATAACGTTGGGCAGTGAAGCAGATAACAGAAGGCCTTAGGAAGTAGAATTGTTAGGAGAAAAATCTGAAAATACGAGAGGGTCACTCAGGGACAGATTGTTCAAGGCAGAGAAGGGAGGGTAATTGCCCAGTGCTCTGCTATGCTGGGTAGCAAAGCAAATCTGCATGGGTAAAAATAGGAAGGAGTTGTGTCTCAGCTGCTCCTCAGGCTCCTGTTTCCTTGCATAATTTCTGCCAGCTCTGTTCAAGGAATTGGAGATAAGACTTTGCAGAGTGCACAGTGGGTGCGTGAATTGAGGTGTTGTGTTGTGAGTATGTTGGCTGAGGCACGTGAAATGAGACAGGTACTTGTTTTGTCCCCCCGCTATCTCCAGAAGGTCCTGCTAGCAGGTAAGTGGTGTGTTAAAGAAAAGAGGTGACATCCAACAGAGGATGGAGCAAGAAGTGCCTGTACGTGTCCTGAAAAAGCCTGTGCCCTGAAGGAGGAACCTGGAGGGTCAAATTTGGTGCCATCTTTCACGTGTAGTATGGAGAGAAGCTGTTTCTGAGTGCAGAATGATTCATAGAAGGAACATATTGCAACACAAGAAAAGGGTAGCAGCTGTAAGCATCAATGGCCACGTGCTAGCCAGAGGAAACTGGCATTCCCTTCTGCTCGGTCAATTGCAGAAGGTTTATTTTGTGAAGGTACAAATGTCTAGAGATGTTCATTCTGGGCTGTGAGAGCTATCACTTCATAGGCAAAGTAGGAAAACAAGCCTTGTGTGTGCTAATTTGACCGATTTGAGTTAAATTTGGAGTTTTAAAGGCTTGTAGGAATAGGCAGGAATATATGCCAGTTTGACAGAGAGGCAAAGCCCTGCCATGTTTAGCAGAAGAAAGGGAATTGAATTCCAGCAGTACACACTGCAGACTCATGCTGGTTCACAATGGTTTGTAAGAGTAAGCCAAAAGTGGAAGTGTTCAGAGGCTCGTATGCCAGTGTTTCTGTGCTGCCCACTTGTGAGGATGGTAATACAAGGAGCACAATGTCATTCAGTTTCAAGTGGTATATGTTAAAAATTTCTTTTGACTTTGTTTTTCTAGGCAAGACAGCAAGCCCAGCTGAGACATCAAATGGCAGAAGACAGCAAAGCAGAATATTCTTCCACTCTACAGAAGTTCAACAGTGAGCAGCACGATCATTACTACACACACATACCAAACATCTTCCAGGTAAAGCTCACTGATGCCGTTCTAGAGAAGTTCAAATTCTCATGGTAAAAGCTAAGGGATGTGTTGCTTGTTGGCTCAGTTCTTGGATCTTGCCTTTTGTTTGGTAACTTTTGTCCCCCGTAGCAATGATTGTATGCAGTCTGCCAATACGAGAGATGGAGAGCTATGAAGAATTCTGCCCTTCTGTTCTGAGGAAGGCAACAATGAATTGTCATGACAGATTACGATAGTCTTTGGAATTGTTCACAGTCTTGCTGTATTAAGCTCTTGTGTCTGTGCAGCTGGGGAATGAGAGCATTATTTGCATTGTTGGAGCAGGAGGCAGCTGGGGCGTCCTTACATCTGTAGAGCTTCGTGGTCCTTTATAACCTGTTTTGAAATCAGACTTTGCAGATGTTAAATTTAAACTCCAATAATTCTGCAATAGTGAGTGTCAGAGAATTTAAGGAAGCTTGCTGACTGTCTTATGATGCCTGAAGAAAGACAGCAGGCAGAGAACAAAAAAGCTATCAGTGTGCTTGGCTGAACAAAGAGAGATTAATGCTGTAGAACAGAAGTTCTAAATGACTGTTCCATTGTAATGGGTCATAAGAGTCAAGAAGAGGAACATGCACCCTCTTTAAGGAGAGGAAATGTCACATGCTTATCATCTGATAAGAAATAACTAATACTGGCATAGCAAATAGGCATTTTCTTATTCATAAGTGGACACCTTCTCTTTTGCTCATGGTATTTCAAACCAGTATCTTCAGATAAATCATCTCTGGCATTGTATATAAAAGTGTGCCAGTGTACTTGTATTTAACACTGAATGCAGTGAATGCTGTGATTCATAGGTGAGCGTGCAAGTTGTGCACACACATCCTTTTAACTGCCAACCAGCAAGTAATCTCTGGTGCTTTCTATTAGCTGCTGAAATAGCAGATATATTGTAAAGGATTTGTTTCCTTTAACTATTGAATTGTTGTTGTTGCTTGTGAATTAATGAAGGCAATGAGGATTTTAGGCTGATGGTGTTCTGTAAGATTCCTGCAGTCTTACGTGAAGCAGGCAGCTCTTATTCAAGCCCTTCTGTATCCTGCTATTATAATCTCTTAATAATGTTATGCCACATCCACTTACCCTCTGTTCCAAATCAGAGGTGCATGCAATAGATGCTGGAGATTGTGACACTGAATCCACTGCGGGGCAGGGGGCATATGTTGAGAAGCACACGTGTAAGCAGCATGGTGTGTAGGGCTGCCTGTAACCCAGAAGTCATCTTCTGGGGAAAAGGGGAAATCAAAAATCCAAGGGAATAAACCTCTTCAGTGGAATGAAAATAAGATCTTTCACAACGTCCTGCAGAAAATGAAAGAGAATTCATTGTTCCAGAAGTTATGTTAACAGCTTTAAGAACCACTCTTAAAATGTCTAAAGCTGGGATTTTGACAAATCAGCATTTTTTAACATACAAAACTAATTGATAAATTCCCTGTCACGGTAACACAGGTTGCTTCTAGAATGGTATTTAGATGTTGGAAGGAACTGTGCCAGTTACTGCCTTGATAGAACAGCTGTCCTAATTTGTCTGTTCTTAAAAATATATATTTAAACCTTGTGTTTTAAAGCAGCCAGCGTACAGTAGGGAGAAAAATTGTTTGCAATTGTGAAGTGACTACTGATATCTGATATATGTGATCTATACTGATATATGTGATCTGACTGAAATCTCGTGTTTCAGAAAATACAAGAGATGGAGGAAAGAAGAATTGTGAGGATAGGTGAATCCATGAAAACTTTTGCAGATGTTGACCGCCAGGTGATCCCCATCATTGGGAAGTGTCTGGATGAAATAACAAAGGCTGCAGAATCAGTTGATCACAAGAATGTAAGTGTTACCTTGCTTGTGTTGCTGACTGTCATCTTTGAACTGATGGCTTCGTGCGCAGAGATTGCAATGCTGGGTCCAAGCTGCAGTGTGAGGGCTTTATAGTCATAGAGCTAGAACAAATAATGGGCTCTTGTCCCAGGCTGCTTTGTCTGAGGCAGATTATTCCCTAAATCTACTTAACATCAGGAAATGCCACGCTTTCTTTTCTTTTAGGAATATTCTCTCCTTTTGATAGGATAATGACTTCTTGAAATAATTGTTAATGGAGATTAGAATTCTGCCCAGAATAAGGAGAATGATGGGCATTATTCCAGATATCTAATCACCACCAATTCTTATTCAGATGGATTCTGTACTCTTCTAATAATGGAAGTAATTAAAATGTTGGCTTCATTAGTTATTACAACAGTTTTGGCAAAATTTCTACTTGGTTTTAAATTCTTCATTTGAAGAACTGAGGCTTGCTAGCAATCTGTACGTGAGTGCTGGTAAACCTTCATTTTGAACATCAAAAAATAAGCCTCCCTGATGGAGGCTGATAAGGAGCTCAGTTGTGCTTCCTGATGCACGGTTAGCACAAGGGCAAATGTGTTTTCTATTTTGTTTTCAGAACGATCTGCTCCCTTTGGAAATGAAGCCTGTGCCTGCTCTTTCTGCCCTTCTCACGGGTCGCATTAGTGCTTCAAATACAAACAGCGTGTGTCTCGCTGTCTGTTTGAAATTCCCATGCAGCTTTTCACTGGAATCTTTTCTGAGCTATTCAGTGCCCAGAGCCTGCAGTTAATTGGCAGCACAAGCCTGAGGCTGAGGTTTTGAAATGAATCCCCTGCTTTTGCACGGCGGTTGCTCTCCCAGAGAGCAGCATGGGAAACCAAGGAATCTGAAAGTTACTGTTTCCTTTTTGGGCTAGGAGAAGGAGCACAAATTCCCGTGTTTGAACAGTGTACCCTTTTTGGGGGTGCAACTCTTGGTGCTGTATGGTGAAAATCGCCGGGGAGAGACTCATAACTGTGCTTACACTATGCTCCTATCCTCAGTTACAGTCTAAGTGAAACTCACAAACCACTGACGCTGAGCATTTGATGCATTTTGTACTCAACTTTGGTCTTTGCACACAAATGTGTCAGACTGATGGCTCACGTGCACAAGTGTGACATTAGAAAAAGGAGCTGCGAGCACTGATGGCTTAGGGGTCTTCTGCAGACACTGACAAAAATGTACTTAACTGCATTTTTGTTATAGCTGAACAGTGATGAAAGATTTAGCCTGTTCTGTCTGGGAAACTGGTGTGCCTAAAGGATTCTTCTTGTCTTAAAATATCATTGAGGGCTTTATGTCTCTGGAACAGTGGTTTCTCACCTTGACTCTAATAAGAGTGGTACACTTGCTCCTGTGTCCTACCACGTTATAAGCAGCCACAGCTGCAGGCAGTGGCAGTTTAACATCTTGTTCTCCTTCAGCCAGTCATGCAAACCGCTCCAGCAGACCTTTCCCATCTCTACATTAAAACTGTAAGAAGGCAGTTTTGGCTCTTAGACTGCTATCAGAAGAGTTTCTTTTCTTTGAAAGATTTCAATTGAAGTTTATCTCCTTTACTCATCTCTTTCAAGCCTGAATTTGTTTGGATGGGAAAGTCAGCTAGATCTGAGCTGCAGTCAGCTTTGAAATTGAGGTCAGATTCCAGGCAAGTCGAACGCAAGGACAGCTGGTGATACCAAAACCAGTACAATGGTGAGCAATACCGAGAGCCTGCTGAGCAGGAAGAGCTCGATGTGGAGCTCTGGGCTCACACTGACACGTGTTTCCCAGCTGGGAGGAGATCTCAGGGATCTGGTAGTTGTAAACAAAAGTACACAGCATCACCAAAGCAGAGATGTAGGAGCTCTGACACTGATGGTGAGGAAATGCAGCGAGCATCTGGAGTTCTCACACGGCTCCTGGCTGGTGTTCTTCGTTTGGTTGTCCCTTGTTCTACCAGCTATCATGTGCAGAGTTGCTGAAAAAAGGGGGAAGGTAAATGAAAGCTGTGCTGTTGGTGTGGTAGCTTCAGTTCAGAAACCAGGCCTTTAAATTTAACAGCCACAGCAAGTTCAGAGGATGCGTTTGTCAGAAAGAAAATAATTACAGAGAGAGCAGCAGTTCTGGTGCCTTACCTTGTGTACCAAACTGAGTCAGCCCTCGCTGGGAGGATGTAAGAACCTGCAAGTTCTGCAGCTTTTTTTGGCTGTCCCTAAAACCTTCCCAGCTGATGGTATGACATCAGTATTTTTAAAAGGAAAAACAAAATGAAAGCACAGCTTTGCAGTTCATGTGGGTACCTACCTGAACTTATTACCATGCTGACCAATCAAGGGGTTTCCATGGCATTTGTGAACAACTCTAATTAAGTATCAGACCTGTGCAGCACAGCAGTAGGTCAAGATGTCGTTCTGCAGTTAGGTTGAAACTCTGGAAGCACAGGCTGCCAACAGCAGGCTTCCTTTCCACAGCCATCTCTGCCTGCCCTGCTATCCATAGCTGCCAGCAGAATTCTCAAAGACCACTTCATTTTCAGGCCCCTCTTTCATTAGATGGCATTGAGAACCAGAATGATATCTGGAAAATATTTCATTATTCTCTGCAGCTTAGAAATGACAAAGTTCTGCCTCACACCTACTAGCAAAATGGGCAAATGTTCAGGCTTAGCTAGGAAATTTGCAACTGTGCAAGCAGAATTGCTTTATGCCCTCATAGAAGTCCTTACAACTCCCAGTAAGCAATAGAAGCTCTCTGGAATAGCTGGTAGCACAGGTTAGCCCTGTGTTCCTGCTGCAGCTCTGGATGCACTCCTGTTCAATGTATTCTTTCTCACACAGAGGTCGCATTACGAGGGTGGGCTGCAGTGACTGCTAAGTGAACCTCTGCAGAATTTACTCCAGCAGCAGATAGAATTAATTTGTTACGGATTTAGGAGTTCCTGTTATGACATTATCTCTTTGTGATATGTGGAGCATGCTGTTTATATTGAGCTCAATCATTGTGGAAGGATGTTTTGACTGAATAGAGGGAGCGCTGTACAATTAACAGAGGAAAAAAGAGAGGGGGGGGGGAAAAAAAAGGCTTTAGGCATGGGATAAAATACCAGCAGTGGATTTCATGTAACCTCATGTATGTTTGTCTTTTCTTTCTTCCTTCATGATTATAAAAAATTCTCTTCAAGGTTCAGGTCTACAGAATGTCAATCTGGGATGAGTTAATGGAGAAGGTGTTGCTTTACCCCCTTTACCAGCTGTATCTGAATTCTACAGTGCACCTGATAGAGTGAGGTTTTTGAGCCTTACTTTGCTAGGTGTTCCCCACCATACCTTTGCAAAGCTTTTCTTAAAGCTGTGTTTTGCTTAGTTGCATCTGGCCTCTGAATCTGTGCTTATCCCACTGGACTTCTCATGAATGCAGTTTTACCTGTGGATGTAAGCAGAAGCTGTGAAATGCTTCTAAAGCAACAAGTTCTTTGATTCAAACAGGATGATGATGCCCTTCTCTAGAGAACTAATAAGATCTTTGTGCACAGTTCCCCTAATGATCTTAGAGTAAGAACTGTTGGAACACTATAATGTAAAAAGCTTCCTTCCTGAGAAGTCATACAGATCAAAGGTGCTCAGAAGAACTTTTTTTCTGAGGCCATTAGACCTAAATGCTTTTGGCAAGTTAAGTCCAAGTCTGCATTTATATATAATTAATCATGTATGTGGGCTTGACTAGGATAAATGCTATATATTATTTCTTGTATGGTTTATCTTTTTCTTCCATTAAAAAAAAAAAAGCAAAGCCTCTGCAGAGAGTACACAGGCAGTGTATGGCTGTAGTATCTGGGAGCATTCAGTCTTACATGGTGCAGTGCCTTGTTTTGGTGGAATAATATGCTCTGCATAGCTTTTTAAAACACGTTGTGGGAATGACAACAGATGCAAGAAAGCATGCCTTAATCTTGGAGCAGAAGGAGAAACTCTTCCAGAACTTGGGAGCAGGATGAGTATTTATGTGCCAGGATGAGACCAGTCCCTTTAAAGATTCTTTCCTCCATAGGAAAAACAAATTTTTGTCCTTGATCTGCTCTGCTAGAAGCAGTGTGATGACAGCCTTCATCTGAGGTGTTTGCCCTTGTTCTTGATCTGTCCCATTTCAGGATTCGCAGATGGTAATAGAAGCCTTTAAATCAGGCTTTGAGCCTCCAGGAGATGTTGACTTCGAGGACTTCACTCAGCCCATGAAGCGCACTGTCTCCGAATCCAGCCTTTCCAACTCCAGAGGGGATGGGAAGTACGAGCCGAAGTTTGGTGGCAAATCCAAGGGCAAGTTATGGCCATTCATCAAGAAAAATAAGGTACTGACCTGCAAACACGAGCTTTGTGTTAGCTAGTATGCGTGTAGTCAATAGGCACTGTTTTATCTAGAGATCTGGGCAGTTACAGATTTTAAAGAGAACTTTAGTTTCAGAAAGTTAATGACTGATGTCTTAGTATGGTGTTCTGTTGTAGTCTTTGGTTACTTAAGGTTTTTTTAAAATATATCTTTGAAGTTTTTTCGTTGTAATTTCTTTAATTACGTTGCAGTTTTTATATTAATTTAATTGTCACGTCTTTGCCATGGTCCATTTCTGTTCCTAACTCAGAAGGAATTGTATACCACTTACTTGGTGTCACGTGTGCTAACTAACACTGTTACTTCAATGTGTCATTACTGTTTTGACACTTCTAAAACTCCTTGACTTCATTTGTGTGACCTCCTCAGTCTGTGCTTCGGGTTCTGCAGTTGGGTGGTGGGAAGCAAGGAATTGCTGCGGTTCTTTCTTCTGTAGCATAACTAATGGAGCACAGCTAACTGAGCAGTTGACTTTTTAAAGACCGCGTTAACTTACGTATCCATCAAACCTTTTTCATTTCACTGTCATATTCTACACCATAATGCATGGCACCGTACATCTGAGGGTACCAGAATGTGTCAGGATGACTGCGCTGTCAGTTTACAGAAACACTGATGGAAGCCCAGAGCAGCTTCACATTTCGATCTCACCCTTGCTCTGACCCTTATCAAACCACTTTTACTGACCACATTGACAGTCCAAAAGCCTACTTGATCAAAATGGGTCATTCCTCTTGCTGGTAGAAGAGAGAAGCTGGCTGTCTGGTGCTTACATTAGTGTAGCCAGAAGCAAAACAAACAAACAAAAAAGACCAACTCCTGAGCAAATCTGTAGCGTTTGTAGAAGTGAAGTTTGATGCACGTTGCTGAGGTATGATCTGAAAGCAGGAAGGAATGTGGTTTGTTGTTTTCCAGATAATAGAAACGCTACTGGGCACTAAGGTACCTTCATTATCTGATCCATTTAAATGCAGGTATTTGTAAGCTCTATCCATTTGCATTATTCCAAGTTGTCCACAGAGCAGAGCAGGGCAGTTTGTAGGATAGCACTGCATGGAAGAGTCTGCATGAGCTTCCCGTCGAAACGCTTTGTTACTCTTCTGTTGCATCACTTACTAAAAACTTCAATTTTATCACACCTTCATTTAACACAACTCTAAATACTTCTCCCCCCACTTCTTGAACCATGGCCTTTAATATTTAATTATTTAATTGTTTTTTCTCTGAATTTCAAATATTGGTTTTGATGCTTATTTTCGTTTTGTGTTTTATCTTTTTATTTTGATTTTATTCTGTCACTTCTCCATCTCTTATACGTAGCTTATGTCCCTTTTAACATCCCCCCATCAGCCCCCTCCTCCTCCCCCTGCCTCTGCCTCACCCTCTGCTGTTCCCAACGGCCCCCAGTCTCCCAAGCAGCAAAAGGAACCCCTCTCCCATCGCTTCAACGAGTTCATGACCTCCAAACCCAAAATCCACTGCTTCAGGAGCCTAAAGCGCGGGGTAAGTTCTCCTCTGGATACCTCTCTCTTTCTTTCTTTTCTTCCTTCCTGGCGCTTTTATATTGCACGTTCTGTTATGTAAGAACTTGTTTTGTTTGGTGGATGAGTCCGTTGTGTTTTACCGTAACATGCAGACAAATCCAAGGAATCCCAACCTGTGAAGTCATTTGCAGTCAAAAATCCCACGGCGAAACCACAAAAAAAGTTTCTGATAGAAGTTACCCTAAGTTCCTTATTTTTGGAAGGAGGGAGAGTTATCCAATGTTTAGAAAGAGCAGCTGAACTGGAAGCAATATTCACATACAGGTCACAAGCCATGAATTTAGCAGCTCTGCATACACCGCTGTTCAGAACTGTAGATCTTTTTCTGGCATTTTCTATGAAGTCAATGGATTTTTTTGGTGCCTGACCTGACTTTCACTTCCCTGTGCTGTGGTGCACGTGGTTCAAAATTACATCCTGTGTGCAGAGCTGATGGTCAGACAGACATGCTCTGAAACACAGGTGGGAGGTTTAGAGGGAATGGGGTTGGAGCCTTTCCTGCCAGCAGCTGGAGCAGCAAGCTGGGTGCTGCTGCATTGTAGAGAGGCTGGAGGCTGACCTGGGGGACCCACCTGAGTGTAGATGGAGCTAAATCAGCTTCTTGTGACACAACACTGCAAGTCCACCATACTTTTCTCCTGAAATAAAGCAGAGAATGTTTTTTTCTTCTTGCAAGCCCATATGTGGCACAGCTGTACTCAGAAGTTGCTCATGCTTTGGCTCGGAGGTTTGGGTCCTTAAAAGTATTATTGAAAAAAAATCACAGGAAGGAGACACAACTGTGCAGCACCTTACAGCCTGCACTGAAAAACACCTTTAAACGTTGAGGAAGTGCAACTGTTTAAAAAAGCCCAAATTCTGCTCCAGGGACTGCAGTGACATTTAGGAACGAGGACTGGAGTTGTTTAGCAGTAGAGCTGCTTTCAGTGGGACTTCAGTGCTTAGTCACAGAGAATTGAAAACACTGCTGTAAACAGTATTTTGTCTCATCTGGTTACAGACAGTAAATTTAAAGAAAAAAAGTTCTTTTTTTTTTTTTTTAATGTAGGGCAGTTTTCAGTTCTTTTCTAAGGAACTTCCATTTCATGATGTATTCAGTGTAGGATCCAAAAATTCCCATTTCTGATGCTTTCTGGTGGGGATGCGGCTGGTTTCTAAGTTGTCCTGAGGAGGTTTGGTAAATGCCTTCTCCCCTCAGTTGCATTTTGGTTCACAGCATCTCTTCTTTTAAGCTTCTAAGGATTGGGGAATTGCCTTTCCATCCTGCTTCTATAGCAGCAGGTGCCTCTGCACTGCTTGGAGGGGCTGGCAGCTGGCAGCCCTGTTTGTGTGGGGCAGCACTGAGGCACGTGGAGAGAAAGGCACTGCTGGAGGTGGGAGCTGAGCCTGTGACCCAGTCCTCCAGAAGTGCCATTCACTGAACTGATTATTGAAAATAATGCTGAATATTTCCAGTTCACTCTAAAAATACCAGCTTATAGTTCCTTGGGCAATGCATGAGCTTGCATTTCAAATGTACTAACTCTTTTTATTATTTGGCCTCACAAGCAGTTATGACTTTTAATGTTTGCCTGAAAAAGTGACATAATATGATGTGCTGTCTGAGAAGTCTGAGCCAGTCTTAGAGGTGCTTTGTACTGTGTTACTTTTAGTTGGTTCGTTTGAGAAGTGAAATAATGAGAACAATTTCCTCTAGCTTTCTCTGCAATCCTTCTAATTTCTGCTGACAAGTTCATTAAAAATGCAAAAAGGAAGGCTGTTACTAAATCTTCATTTGAACCTTTTTCACTGTGTTCTCCTTCTCTTTCATTTCCTTCCCCTGTTAGCTACCAGGATGTTTGTATGTAAACAGTTTTAGTGCCTGACTCATCCAACAGAGTTGGAGGCCAGTGTTCAGATCATCGTGGCATTTTCCAGAGGGACGAATTCGGGCCGCTTAGTTCATCTAGAAGCACGGAGGAGGAGAGGCTGCTGAGAGCTGGCAGCTCGTTCTGTCTGCTCTGAGAACGCCGCTGATGTCTCATAGGTCCTTGGTGATTTTTGTTACACGCAGCGTCAGACTGAAAGGTCATGGAAGCGCTTCATGATCTTCGAAAACAAAATTCTAACCAGACGCACCCCAATCTCATTTATTTGCCAGATGAGAAATGAGTTATTGTCATTTGTCTGATGCGGCCCTCTTTATGCTCAGTGCAGCTGCATAATGTCGTTAATTCCGCTTTTACAATATTACATTTGATAAGATTTCCTTTTCTCGGTTCCTCTCCATCTCATTGTCCCTCTGCCAGATCCGAGAACATCTGAGTTTTGTTCATGAGCAGTAACGTTGCTAATGCTGCACTGAGATCTTAGCAAAGAAATGAGAGAGGAGGAGGTAGGGAGGAGCTGTCTGTGCAGAACAGTATTTGATCTGTACAGGGATACATTAGCAAAGCAACTTTTGGGAAGGTCGTGCAGGGAGCCAACAGAACAGTACAACGTAATGGACGTTTGGCTTTGACACAGAACAATTTCATCTGCTCTGAATATTGCCTCTGTGCTGGTTTTGTTCAGCCAAACACCTTGCAGTACAGGTGGCCACGGGAGATTTAAAGTACTTAAGTAATTAAGATGATTTTAGATTGTTCAAACAAACTGTCAAGAAGAGGGTCCTTCCTGGCTTTGCTGATAATCTGAGCTGTCAACGCCTGCAAAAGGCTGTGTAACAATTCAGAGGACATGGGATCATACTCCTTTCTGTCCCTGGTTTAAGGAAGAGGAGCGTGGCAAGGAAGTACTTCATGTGAACACAACTAGCAGATAACAGAAGTGTAATGGGATGAAAACAGCAGAACTACCTGCTGTAACGTCCTTGGAATGTGAGGCAGTGATCCCCATACGGTTCCTCCTTAAGTCCTTTGGAGATGGCAGTGAGTGGCAGAGTGTTCCAGTGATTTCCTCCCAAGTTTTGTTTTAGCATCTTCTGTTACATTTGGAAAGAGAGATGACAAAGCTAAAGCGGACAAGGCACTGGTGACTGAGTTGTGTGTGTAACATCATGTCCTGCAATCTGCCTTCACTTTTGCTCTCAATCTAAAAATCCATTGAGTTTCGTTTCCAGGAAAGGAAGCAGATAACTGAACGGCAGATGTGAGGCTAAAGCACCAACTGCAGTATCAGTGAGCACTGCCAGTGTGAAATCCTGGTCTGTCTGAAAGAAAAACAACAGACCTTACGTTGTCAGTGTCTGTGGTTTTCTAATCATGTTCTCCTATTTTCATCGGACTTGCTTTCTTCTAACCCCAAAAGCAGAGATGTCCATTACGAGGAATCATTAAGACCCATTACAGTGCTTACAGAAGATCTGAGCTAAAAGAGGTGAAAGTCTACACAAGGGTTTTGTTTTTTACTGTTTCTAATAACTCTTTAATTAAAAAAAAGTCTGTTTAAAATCAGCTCTGCCTTTTTAGGGAAGTAAAATCCAGAAGAGTACAAAAATGAGGAACCACTTACATAAGTCATAATTTCATTTATGCTTGCTCTGCTTTTTCTAATTCCATTTTGAGGACAAAGGAAACATAGTATTCTGCTAGTTGAAATTAACTTTGTGTTTTTCCTTTATTGCTACACCGGCAGTAACATCAGCACCTTTATTTAAAGAGCAATACTTCTCAACTAACCAAATCCAGGGTAGAACTTACACCCTTGAGTACATTGAGCTGAGCTGCTTCATGTCATCACTGGGACACTGGGCTGTGCTCAAACAGGAGGTGGCTCTGGGAGCAGAGGCACAGATGCTGCTGTCATTGCCCACACAGCCCCATAGGGTCCAATGGAGGGATTTTTGTGGTTTCCTTTTGAAGTGGAAGTTGTTGACTTCATTGCAGTGTAACTTCATTTCCCTCGCATCAGTTAATGTTTTCCCTTTCCATCCTGTCTCATTTCTGTGATGCACTGTGCACTTTTTCCTGACACCTGTAGCCCTGCCCTGAGACCATGAACTGGTTGTGCTGTGATTGTGCAGAAACACCAACCAAACCACACCAGCTCCTCACCTGCTGTGTTCCCTGCCCAAGGGAATGCTCTGTGCTGTCATGCAAGTGTGTGTGTGCCAAAACACCGGGCCTTGGGTGGGTGGGCTCAGGAAAACCAAGGTTATTTTAGCAGAGAGATTTGATCTGGCATGGCATGTTTAAGCTAGCCTTTAAGAATATGAGATCTAAGTGTTACAGAAGTGCTGAACTCGATTAATGCTCTCAGAGCATCTAGCAAGTTTCCACTTTGCACTTAAAGGCTATTAAACACCGAGCTGTCTTTTGCTGCAGAAGCAGTAAAGATGGGTGCTGTGCTGGTCTCCACCGTAACGCATGTGTTTTCTCTTGCTGACTCACCAGCAGACACAGTCTTTGTATATTCACAAAGAACTCATGAAGAGGACTTTAGGGACACCCACGTGTGCCATTGAGGCTAGGGAATACGTTGTAAGTCCACGTATGGTGTGATCAGCCCATAGCGTTGCTGCACAGTCGCTAACCCCACTTACAACACCCTGAGAGTGTGCTGTGGAAATGTGCTTGGTGGCAAAGAAACTGCAGGCTTGGTGAGAGGCGAGCTGCAGCCAACTGTGTTACGTGCAGGAGAGACTTGTCTGCTAGGCCTGGAAATGCTGAAATTCACGCTCCTCTTGGAGCTGTTTAAAGTGTGCTTGGCTGTAAAACAAACAGAAAACTCAAAATTATATTCTGTATTTGTTAGCTTGTAAGCTGAGCTGCTTTTACAGCAAATTTCTTCTACGTAGAAGTGCTCCAGAGGGGTTCCTTGCGTTTATTCCAAATTACTTTATGAATGCAGTTTGAGCATCGTGAGCCACCCCCCTTGTATGAGCTGCAGGGACACATCCCTGCTGTGGTGGCAGAGCACTCTGCGAGGCTTTGAGAAACTTCCCTGAGCTCTCTGTGACAGTGACAGCCCATGGGATCAATGCTGGTGACCTCTAAATCTGATACCCAGCGAAAGCATTGCAGGGGGTGGATTGCAGCAGGAGCACTGAGAAAGAAATTTACCTTTGGGCTGGCTGGAAATGCAGTGATTTATTTCAACCCTGATTTCTGTAAGTGAGGTTAGTGTCTGTCTGTGACTGTCCAATAACACATGGACTTGCTGGCTTTCATGCTCTCTCATGTGTTATTGAAGCTTGTGGCTCTTAGGCTCTTCATTTTTTCCCTGCAAGACTTGTTCTAAATTGGCAGCTTGAAACAGATCTGCTCATTTTGTATCAAAGTGATTTATTTGATCGTTTTGAGGGGGAAAAACGCTCCATTTCCAGGAGCTGTGAGCAAGTTTATCACTGTGAAAACCCAACAGAATGGGCAAAAGCAGTTATTCAGTGAATGTTTAATGCAGATTTACTTTCAGTCTGCTTATATTTGTTGACAGAAATTGAATCACTGTCATGTAAAATTATCAATGCGTTTCAGAAATGGAAAGCTGGGAATACGACTTATTTCAGCATTTCATTGTCTGTGATCTGCTTTACTCGTGATGCCTGTAACAATCCCCGATGTTCTCTTTGGAAATGCTCTTAATAAGTTCTCTATTTTTGTCGTACCTAATTAACAGTGCAAGAATTGGGCATACGATGTGTATAATCTCTGAAATTTGCTGAATTTACAGCAGAATAGTCGTGATGCAGATGGTTCCCTGCAGTAGTGCAGTGCCTTTAGACCTAGTGTTTAGACATTAGCGCATGTAGCATACATCCGTGCCTCTATAGAGTGCTTCATAGGTAAAGATTTCCTCTGCACCATCAGTCCTGTCTGTATATATGTAGGATCTCAGTTTGTGCTGATCATGTCTATGCTAAAGTTCACAGGAATGCTAAAGGTAATATGCAAACAAAAGCTGCCTGCACCGAATATCTTCTGCATTATATTTTAGCTCATTCTCTCTCCTCCTCCTGCGATTCTTCTCTCAAATTGATTGGTTTGGTTTGGTTTTTCAGTGGCCTCGTAGCTAAGAGAGCAAATTTCTTTACTGCATTGTCATTATTGAGCGTTTCTGTGCTGATAGAATGAACTTCAGAGGGAAGCTGAACTGCTGCATTGTCACGTGATGTTTCAGTTCTGATGGAATAGTTTGCTATTAATTTTAAGGCTATACATTATCCTGGAATTATTGACATGTATTACTGCATAAATTCTGCTAACTATTGACAATTGTATTTGAAAATTGAGTGTTTCTTGAGCAGGCTGTCAAAAACATCACAGGTGTTGAGCCGCCTTTATTTTAAATCCATCTCAAAAGAAGTCTCGCTAAAAACGGAGCATCTGTTTGTGAGAGCTCTGCATCCAGGAGCTGTCAGTGCTGCTATTAGAGAACTCTTGAATGGCAAGGTGTGCAGAGGTCTGACAAGAGATTATGGCCTGGGGCAAGAGATGTTTCCCCATTTTCACGTGTCAGCTGTCTTTGATACAGAGCACGTGCATTTATGCATTTATGCATTCAGAAGCTCGTTGCACACCAGCCCACAGAGCTGGTAGCACAGTCACAGCGAGGACTGCTGGAAGCCTGGGTGCAGTTTTCATTCCCCCTTTAGTCTGGCTTTGTCCCTTGAGCAGCAGTTAGCTGGTGCTCCTTGGGACGGAGCAGAAAGGCACTGGTAGGCTCCAATCTCTTGCAAATAACATAACTGACATCTTCCAGCACTGGAAGAGAGCTTTGGTAGTTTTGGTGGTGGACTGCCTGAGCACATTTGTTCACCTTTCAGTTTGAGGCCCTCCAGCACTGCTCAGAACCCAACATGTAAGTGATGTAGCACAGAGGCAAGCTGTGCTGCTGTGCAGGTTATTTTTTTAATGTACAGCTCTCTTTTTGCACTCTCTTCCTTTCCCTGATTAGCTAAAAGATAATGTTTTAGCTCTGCACCAGGGGATGTGCTAACCTTTGAGGACTGGATCATGTATATCATTTAAGTAGCTTGAATAACGTCTTGCTGTGCTGCCACAGAATCAATTTGGTGTGAAGAGATTTTTCCCCCTTATTCTTGGTCCTGACCTTGTCTGACCGTGTGGCCAAAATAAGTTTGAGATAAGCATCTGTATGAATTGTTTAAGAACACCAAATGGCTTAAGTGACTGCCCAGAAAGCATTGTGTGCAGCAGTGGAGGTAATTTGGGAGCACAGTCATTTGGACACATGCCTGTGAGCTGGGCTTTGTCTCCTGGAAATGACCAGAGGCCCCAGCAAGCCATTAGCAGCAGGAGCAGTGCCATACCTCTCCCTACCTGCAGCTAGGTGCTGCCCTTCCCTGCTCCTGCACAAAGGGGCTGATGCTCGTGACTGCATTTCAGCACATGTTCGATCTGAAGTGACTTGCACACATTGACAGCTGTTTTGTTCTGCAATTCAAAACTCAACGAGGAAATCCCTCTCGTAGCAGCAGTACTGAGGCAGCCCAGGCAGAGCTCTGCCCGCAGTGCAGAAGCACACAGGCAGCGCTCCCAGCTCTGCTCCAGGCGAGGCCATGGCAGCTGCCCAGTGCTGCTGGGCCCTCTTGTGAACTTTTGCACAGATCTGTCAGTGTTACCCATCCAGCGAGGGGAATGTGTGTCATGTTATTGGAACAGCGCTCTGAAAAGTTCCTCTTCTACTGATGCTCTGTTGTTTTTTTTTTTCTCTTTTCCCCCCACCCTGTATCTCTCCATTTTTTACATGAAGCTTTCTCTCAAGCTGGTAAGCACATTTTCAGCATGCCTGTCCTGTGTTTTAATCACAACTCTGTGTGTGTTTGAATGTGCACTGTGCCACGTATGACATGACACTGAAATTGTTAATTCGTTTCTTCTTTGTTTGCTTTTTTGCTGTTTATCAGATAACTCTGAATACACAGGTCTGGAGTCTAATAGAGGTGATCAAAACTCAGTCTTTCTAATAAGCTGCTAAAAAATTAATTCTAATACATAGTTTAGCTTTCATTTTTGTAATCTAGGGCTATGAAAATGTAGAAAAACAGTATCAAGTAATTCTGTTACTGTGTAAGTATAAATTGAGACGTTAAAAGAAATCAAGATCTGCTTGGACTTTTTCCATAGAGAAATGCATGTATTTGGTGTGACTGTAACATAGCCACAGTTTGCTTTCTGTGTCCAGGTGTTTACTGGCAATCTGCACCATGGTCGCCTACATTTTACAGCCCTATGTAGTCCTTCAGAATAACTAATAATAATTAAAATTCTGTAAACCGTAACCAACAAGGTTAACTCAGTCTGATTTGAATTTGCAAATGCTGTTATATATACATGTGCCCCAAATTCGATCTCGGATGCAGCTGGGAAGGTTGCTTGAGCTACGGTAAGGCAACGTGTTACTGAGTTGGAAAGGGGACGGGTGGACCTATTTGGGAAAGCAAATTGGGCTGAAGTTGGTATTGCAGGCACTGTGCTGCTTGAGATGTGCCATTCCTCAGTATGTCTCTGGTAGATCGTTGCTGTTCCTTTGCCCCTTGTGATTCCAGGGGGAGCTCAGCTGTTCTGCCCCAGTTCATGCATGAATTCCAGAGCCACAGTGCCTGGTGACAGAGAGCTTCAGAGGAACTGCAGCTCCTTAATTGCATTAGCTTGGAAGTTTTCTTTTTCCTCACCAGTCACTGCCTTAGGTGCTCCTTCCCTGTTAACCCTCCCTACATACACGTTGTCCATGGATTTATCATCTTGGACCTGTTCCTAACAGCTTGTTCTGAGGAGAGCTGTGTGCCCTGGAAGCTACCTGGGGTAGCTGTGGTGTGCCTGCAGAGGTTTGGGGCCCTACCACTGCCCTGCACAGCGCAGTCACTCATTGCTCTTCATTTGCAGTACTGCACTTGTGAAGACCTGTGGTAGAAGTGGGGAATGGTGGAAACCTCTGGCTCACTTGGAAACCTTCTTCTTCTGGCTATTGCCATCCATTGACCTATTAGTCCCAAGTGTTTACACCAGGAATTTCCACTCGTTTTTGTGTAGTGTAGCTGAGCTAAGCCTTCACATGTGTAGGAATATATCCTCCCCAGACAAACAGCTGACCTGGCCTTCCCCCAAGAATTGCACAAATCAAGATGATGTGTATTTCTAGAAAACATGTGCAATGTTTACAGCTTGAGAGATGATTCCAGCATCTTTTGCTTGAAAGCATGAAATGTGCCTACCATGTGCAAAAGTTGTTCCTTGCCTCTTCCTGCTGGAGGAGGACCTGTAGCTGCTGTTCAGATGGGAAGTTACCAAGCATGGAATGAAGTCTCTGTGAGTTCACCCAGTCTCAGGCATGCATTTCTACACAACACTGCTGCTTTGGTCTGAAGCATTGTGGGCACAAATACTGAATTTAATCTGGCCGAGAGCTGTCAATTGAAATGAAGTATAGAAAAGGAAGAGCTTTTCCAAATTGCTTTGAATACATCTGGTCTAACTGAGGATGTTTTCAAGCATCTCTTTCTCTTCTGGATAGAATTGAAGAGAATATTTTATGTAGTCTTTCTGTTAACTGCTCATTTATTTACAAACCTACATCCAGACGCTTTGCCTTAAAAAGACAGGTATGGGTTTGCATGCAGGCTGACTAAAATATACTACAGCAGCCTAATGTGATGTGGGAGTTACTGCAAAGCAAACGCTGCCAGCATTGAAGAATGAATTAAAACAGAAATCTCCTATGCCACGCACAGCAATGTAATTCAGAACTCTCAGGGCTGCACGTGGCTACTGATTTACAATTAGCTTAACTTGGTTCTTGCATTGTGTTAGATTTGCTTTCCCTTTGTCTCACAGAATGGACACTGATGTGTGTTGTTACGCACGAGGTCAGGCTGAGAGGCGTGTGTTCGTTCTTACTGAACATGGAGATGGCAGCACTTTCATTACACCAACCTGTTCTGCTTTATTGAAATTAAACAGGAGGAGGGGCAGGAGGTGAGCTGTGTGGAGTTGTCCTCCATCCCTCTGACACCCACCTGCCTCCGTTACAAACAGCACGTTCTGCAAATGCAGAAGAAAGAGTGTGCCTTCAGCACGGAACTGGAGGGGTCTCGTGGGCAGTCTGTGCAAAGTGTCCCCTAAATCACTTTCACCTAAGAGAGAGATTTGGCATTTCAGTAGAACTGATGTTTCAGCGTGGCTCGCAGCCTTTCAGTAAGCAGATGGGCTGTTGAATTTGGGTGCTCAGCTTTGTATTTTGTCCCTTTCTTTTACACGTGTGCCAGTACTTCTGCTTAGAAATGGGACATGAAACAAGTGAACGCCAAGACAAGAGAAATGTGCAAATTCTAGATTGTGTACAAGACCTTCATTCTTTTGTGATTCAACTAGTTGCAATTCTACCTGCTATACAAAACTAGAGTGATCAGAGATGAAGCATAGGGACAGTAATAATTGAAAATCTGGACAAACACCTTGAGAACTAAGAACTTCAACCACTTCCATCAAACCAGGCTGTTGCATTAGTTTCACAAAAACAAGGTCAAATATCCCACTAGTTTCATTTTTGCTGCTCTTTTTTTAATGTTTTAATTTAAAAAAGTATAACAAATGTAAGCAGTTTTGTTATACACATCAACTGTTTTTTACATTTTATGTGTGGGCCAAGACAATTCTGCTTCACTCAGTGTGGCCCAGGCAAGCCAGAAGGTTGGACACCCATGAGTGAGAGCAGGCCAGCAATTAACAGTGTGCTCAAGAAGCGTGATTATGACACAGGAGTAGAAGCTAGCAACTGCTTTCAGGGGGATGCTGTGTCTAGGGGAGTAGGGGAAAGCAGGAAAAATTAGCTTTCCATGGAATGAGATCCTGCTAAGTAAAATCTGGTGTTAGCTATGGTTAAAGGTAGATTCTCAGCTTTGCCACTGAATTCCTGCATTCTTCCTGATCTCCCTTTAGCCTCTTGGTAAGGAAGTGGTCCTGGGCTTGTTTCTTAGGCATTCTGATTCCTAACCATTCGGGGGCTGATAACTCATAGCACAAATGATAACAATGCTTCAGACCATTGCGATTGCTTCACAGATTTGTGAGCTATTTTCTAAATGTGGTCTTGAAGGATTCATGTAGGCTCTGATCGTTTATTTTTTCCCCCCTCCGTTCCACTCTGCAGGGAGCTGGGCCAGAGGACTTCAGCAATCTCCCACCTGAACAAAGAAGAAAGAAACTTCAGCAAAAAGTCGATGAGCTGAACAAAGACATTCAGAAGGAGATGGATCAAAGGTAAGCCAACTCCTGCAGTGGAAAACGAAGTAGATCAACTGAAACATAAGAACTGATAAAAATAAGGTTCTGGTGTTTTCTAAGGTGCTGTTCCAAGAGAAGAGGCAGAGTTTGTTTATTGCTAAAAATGTCTTCTGCAATCGGTTATTTAATTTTGGCTGATGTAAGTCAGAGCACCCTTGCAGGGAAGTAGCAGTCTAGTCATGGGCAAGACGAAGATTGCTGTTGGATACACAGATATTTTTGTATGTGTGATGTGATCTGTTGCTGATGAATCAGGTGTGATGGTGGGGGGGCTGTTTGCTTGTTGTTCGGTTGGTTCTAGTAATTACAGGATGTAAACATGGTCTGAATCAGGGTTACAGCCATAAACCTCTCAACACTAAGCAGATCACCTGCAAATGTTTGATGGGCAAATGTGATCGAGGGCGTATGCCAGCAAATGAGGCTGTTGTGAGCTTGCTAATGTCCAAAGTGCTGATTGTTTGGTGTATATCTTAAGGCTCTGATCTGTAGCATGCATTTCCTGGGAGCTGGAAATACGAGTCCAGTGCTTTTGTGGATGCTTTTTCTACAAGGCTTCGTTTATCACTGTGGTTGAGAACAAGACCATTTTAGTTACACGCTTTCTATTGATTCTGGCAGCTTGTATTTGTTGCTTTCAGTGTTTGTTCACATTCTGGCTCCTGCAATCGCATTAAAAATTCAGCACACAAAAAAGCAGAACTTTTCTTTCCAGAGTGATTTTAAGACTCAGCCTCACTGCTATTAGTCCATCCAAAACAGTGCTTCACATTTACATGGATGTGCCTGTGTTTTCTGCTAGATTGCTTTGAAGAACCTGTTAATTGTGGTTTGCTGGCAGACTTTTTTCATCTGTTTATTTTGTTTTATTTTCATCACTTATATCATAAATGAGAAAGGAAGTTTGCACATGGTTATTTTACTTTCCATAGCTCTTCCTTCTGTGGTAACTGCATTTCTTTCTGTACAGATTTACCCTTCTGTATTGATTCTGAGGTAACCCCGTGTTAAAATCTGATACGAAATCTGAGTAGAATTACGCTATTTTAAAATGACCATAGTATGCGATTGGGGAATTAACAGCAGCAGTTAAGTAGGGGTTAAAGAGCAGTAATCATCGTGACTCACATGTTTGCAATATTGTCCCTTAGGGTTTCAACCACAGAGCAGTCCCACTTCCTTGCCACCCACACTTTTTCTCATTTTCTCTGCACAAAGCAAAAGCAGGCACAGGATTGCAATTGTCAGGAGTTTGGTGGGAAATTCCAAAATATAAAGAGCGCTAACTTGAGTCGTGGGACTGCCATTAACCTTGTTCCCCCCAAGTAATGCCTAGAGAAAAGCTGAATGGCTGTGGCAGGGATACAGGAAATCAGCTCATAAGTGCATCCATCTCTAAGCTCTGAAACGCTCATAGTGCATTTAACTTCTTCCTTAAGTTCAACTTGCTTCAGGTCAAAGGCAGCGCGTTGCTGGCAATGAAAGCTCTGCAGGCTTCCCTAAGGGATCTGATGCATCAGCATTGGTCCTGTGGTACTGCGTTCATCGTAGTGGGCCCTAATATTAACATCTCTGAAACAGTAGGCATTTGGCATCTGGGTTGATATGAAACACAGCCCCCAGAAACAGTCTGGTAAAAATACAGCGTAGCTTAACAGGATGCGGGGTCGCGTTATGTGGGCCAAGGTCCATCTGTTGCTGCGCTGCGACAAATGCAAACCATCTGGATTCAGCTTCCTTTTAAGCAGTGTGAAATAAATATCTTACAAACTATCAGCTTTGCAAAAGGCAAAATGCAACAGGCAGGGTGAGAGATTTTGGTTATCACTCCATTTCTGTTACTGTTATGTCTGCATTCAGCTCTTTGTCCCAGTTGCTCAATTGGATTTCAGCCCACGATGGAGAAGAATGATGCAACTGTTTGTCTGTCTCCCCCCAAAACTGGGATGATATTCATTTAGGAACTTTGTTTTTCTTCTGTCTCTCAGAGATGCCTTAACGAAAATGAAAGACGTGTATATCAAGAACCCTCAGATGGGAGACGCAGCGAGTGTGGACCACAGATTATCAGAACTTGAACAGAACATTGAAAAGCTACGATTAGAAGTGCAGAAATTTGAGGTATGGGGAGGGATGTAGATGTGATGTTGGTCTCAATGAGTACACACATCTTTGATGTAGCTCAGCGTATGCACACTTCTAAGTAAGTGCTTCCGTGCTTTTCCAGATAGAAAGAAAATGCTTCAATCCATTTTTGTGTATGGAGAAGTGCTACTTAATCACTTACATTAATTGAGATCTTTGGGCCTATTTCTGTAACATAAATAAGCACCGTTGCTTGTGGTTGTCAGCCAACAGCTGTGCTCTTTAAATTGCCCAGAAATCTATGCCAAGTAGAGGAGGAGATAAAATGCAGGATTCTCTAGACTGCCCAGAGAGGTTCAGATACTTGCTTAAATTATGACAATCATCTGACTACAGATGAATGTGGAAAATTGGAGGGATGTAAGTGGGAAACACCATTCGAAGTCTAACAGCAAGACAGAAGCCATCAGATGATGTTTAAGGAACAGTAACATTAACAGGAAGCTTCTTAGAGATGCAGAACCTCAAAAGCATGAAGCAGTATTTGGAACACGAGGATCCATTAGAAATGTATCCCATTGCAATTAACACCAGAGGGATTATAGGACTGAGGAAAGGCTTCACTCTATAAGCTGGGCCACAAACACGAAGATGTACAGCCTGCTCACGTTGTTCCTTACAGTCATGTGTTTTACTACCGATTGCTTGCTTACCCACATGAAAGCCTCCCTAGCTTTTCTCCTGCTATTACCGGGGCTACCGTGAGCTGCTGCGCGTCTTACTTCATTGTGACTGGAGGAGCAGTTCTGTCCTGTAGTGAACATAAGCTCCAGTGACGTGACGCTGCTGCTTTTCACTGGCAGGGCTGGCTGGCCGAGGTGGAGGGCAGGTTGCCCTCGCGGACGGAGCAGGCGCGGCGGCAGAGCGGGCTGTACGAAGCCCAGAACACTTCAGCAGTGAACAGCTGTGCACAGGACCGGGAGAGGTACAGTATCTGTACAGAGCTGCTGCCTTTGGGCTGGTTACTTGCTTGCTTTAGCTGCACCACCGGGAAAGCTTGCTCTGCCGTATTCAGGACGGTGTGAGCAGGATGAAGGCAGGGGCTCTGTGATGAGTTTTGCGTACTAGTTTTAGCCTTATAGAATATTCCAACTTTATGAGCTGGTTTTCTAAGTATAATGGCCACTGCAGTCACTGCTGTGAAGGCAACTGTGATAGGTTCTTTTTATTATGGAGAGAAAAAAGACCATCGCAGTGCAACAGCTGCTAATGGTAACAGCCTGTCCTGACCGTTCTGTGGAATTGCTGAGCTGCTCCAGCTGGAGTTGCTCACCTTGCCTCGAGGGCTGGGTAAACAAGCCACTCTCCCCACTCCTGAGGCTGGTCGCTATAGTTGCTCTGTATTTTCCTCTCTTGAGCAGCCCAGATGGCAGTTACACAGAGGAGCAAAGTCAGGAGACTGAGATGAAAGTACCTGCAACAGATTTTGACGATGAATTTGACGATGAAGAACCACTACCAACCATAGGAACATGTAAAGCTCTCTATACGTTTGAAGGTATCATTCAGTCTTTACTCTTCTTTTACTTATTGCTTTGTTTGCTTCCTATGACAAGCGGGAAACCTTCATTTAACCTCTGCAGCACTTAAATAGACAAAGGAGTGAGTGAGGCTTTGGCACAATTCTGTTTTCTGGTGGCTCTGGGGCAGGGATTTGTCTTGCATTTTGCAGGGCTTCTGCAGGAAGAGGAGCCAAATCTAGAGCAGTGCATCCTTACAGTGGTAGAGAGAAATAGTGAGGGAATAAAATTGTTTTCTATGTTGTGCACTTCATCCCTTCAGTGTACTTCATCCCATTCTTACTGAAGGTTCCTATGAGAATTTTTCAGCTGGGGGGGCTAAGCTTAAGCTGTGTTATCAGCTGAGCATGTTATGGTAGAAAAATGTGTTACATGTTTGGGAGTTCTGCTGTGAGGACCAACTTATGTAAGGGTTACATAACTTAGGGTTATGATGCTCAGCTAAGTTCTTATTAATGTTATATTAATGCCTTACAGTTTTAGCCTGCCTATGGTACTTAAATGTCTGGCCTGCAACCACTGCTTTCCAATAGAGGAGCTGTAACAGCTGGACATGAGCTACAAGAACATTTGTGAGGTTCAGGTTAATGATAACACGACTTCTTTCTGATGGTGCTGCTGGCATTTCCTATGGCAACTCCTACATCAAGGTCACGTTCCTTCTTAGATTGCAGCCTGTTGTCTCCAGACTCATATATTCTTGTTCACATTCTAGTGATGCAACAAAGGATGCCATGAACATCTCCTACTCCACCTGTGGTTCTTACTGTGCAGGGCAGCTTCACATCCTTGTTACTTTGTCTTTCAGGTCAGAATGAAGGAACAATTTCTGTAGCAGAAGGAGAAATGCTGTATGTAATAGAAGAAGACAAAGGTGATGGGTGGACGCGAATCCGAAGGAACGAAGACGAGGAGGGCTATGTCCCTACGTCTTATGTTGAAGTCTATTTGGACAAAAATGCCAAAGGTGCTATGACTTATATTTAATAATATTATTATTACTTTACTTGCTTTCACAGAGATACCCAAGCCTGCAACTTTGCGTTGCATACAGAGCCTTTTAAAAGTCTGTACAGTGCCACAATCTGCGTTATGTCATACATGGACTAATATGGCTTGCTGTACTGCAAAACATGCTTTTTGTTGGTCAGAGAAGGCTAGTGTGGTAGAGGGGAAATGCAGCCTTTCCTAGTAAGTGCTCATTCAACTGTCACTGCCATTGCACACCCAATCTAGGGCAGGAAACACAAAGCCATTTGGAAACACTGCTGGTTTTCCTTACATATCCTGGGGGTATTTCAGACATGTTCACAAGTTTGTCCCAAACTGATCCAGTGCACTGCTATATAGGAGATATTTAGCCTGGTGTTTTGTGTCTCAGCGTGGCAGAGCTTTCAGAGCCTCATGAGTTCTGTGGACCTTTGGAACTGAAACCTGCTCATCATTTAGTTAGTGTGTTTGGAAGGGGAAGCAGAAGTCTTGCCAAAGCCTCTCTACACAGCACTCTGTGATCCTTGATCAATCATTTAAACATCGACGTTAAGGAAAATCCTTTATTCTTTCCAGTCTTGATACATTTCAGAAAATGGTCTTTTGGCTGTATTTGCTATTTCAGATGAAGTACAGGTTTTCTGATGACCCGTAACTAATGGGTCTTCTGCTGAAATGCAGTCAATGGAGGCACTCTGAGCTTAAACTGGATGGTCTTCTGTTTCTCAGTTCCTTTTGACTCCTCCCAAATAGGTGTATTTTGTAAGCAAGCAGTGCATACAGGAGAATACTGGGTAGAATACATGCTAGCATGTAAATACCTGGTAACATAATTCACTGAGAAGTTTTAGGTCTGTTTCAAATTGATATGTTTGAAGTCCACTGTTAAATAATTAATGCATTTCTTTTGCAGTCATTTAATTGTTCAGATCGTTGTGTTTCCAGAACCTTAAAGTTCTTGATGTGAAACAAACTGCCTCGTCCAATTTATAAGAAAAGGGAACCATTCTCATAGAGGTTTATGGACATTGGAGAGAGAAGAGAGCTGTCTCTGTAAACAAATGCTACAATTTGATCAGCTCACTTTTTCCTGGGTTCAGTATTAATCAGTGCGTGCCTCATCTGCTGCAGATGGAAGTCTAGGGTCTGATTTTGCCATAGTAGTTTTATGTTTGGCAAATACAGTCAGCTGAGATGCAAAAGTAAACTCAGCCCCCCTGTCTCCCTTGGTTAACCTTTAAAAGGTGGGTTTGTATTGTTTGTTTTCTCTGCTTCACGTTCAGGACAAGGCAGAGAGCACAGAATGAGAGACCTCATAACTCAGTGTTCCCTCCTTTGGAGATCGTGTCCGCTGTGTGTGGCAGTGGTTGAAAGCAGCATTATTGCTCTGCTGGAAGATGTGGTGTTCAGCAATGCAGGCTGCTTGAAGCAGCTGAGCTGCTGTGGCATCTCCATCTGTCAGAAGTAGCAGGCATGGCGCTCGGCACGCTTCTCTCTGAGTGATGCTGAAGGGCAGTCAGTGCTGGGAGTGAGTGCTGACACAGCTGGGAGGAGTTCAGATCTTTTGTTTTTTCCATTAATTTTGCTGGACTTTAAGAATGAAATCAACTGTGCTGTGACTATCTAATGGAAATGAACTATGAGATTTACTTATTTTAAAATGGAAAACTTGCCATAAAACTTCAGAGAGGCTGTGTAAAGATTTATGGGAAATGCTGCTGCATTTAGAAGGCAAACTTTGTGGCAAGTTGCAGTTTTCTCATTTGATATTAGTGTGCTGTAGAAGGACTTTATTCAATCCCTGACTATTTAACCTGGAAACCACAACTTTCCTGAAAATGACAGCGCTAAAGCATTTACACACTTCAATTCCTGTTCTCAAAAAGACCCTGGAGCAGCTGGCAGCTCTCGGTGTAGCTGTGCAAAGAGCACTTAGGTGAGGTGCCCAAGCAAAGGCCCGGGCTGTGGCTGTGCCTCTGGGATGGTAGGACAGGTAAGTTGTGTGCTGCAGCCACCCCTGTGCATGTGCTGCTCACGTGAGCCAGCTCAGGGCTGCCTGAGGGCTGCTGGTAAAGTTTACCATGGTAAACTCCAGCCAGAGGGTGTTGCAAACCCTGTCACAAAAAGAAGGTAATGTCTATCTTGTTCTGCCTTTTTTTTTTTTTTTTCCAGATGAGTACAAATCACTTCAGAAAATCTCTGAGTAGGTTTGCATAGGCCTGTGTTCACCTTTTGCTCTACGGGTTTGCTGCTACTGCTGTTTTAAGAGATCTATTTCAGAAGGTTTTCTTTAGAAGAGATGAATGCACGTGGCTTGTCTCCATCAATGAAGGACTCTGTTAGGTGCCACTCGCTCAGCTGATGCATGTATAAGTTCTCCTTGCAATTTAAATGTGCATCGCTGCGGATGGAAGCGCTGCCCCTTGGCATGACTGTAGTTGTAAACAGCAGTTTTGTCCTTCCTGATACCAGTGGGAGCCAACGCAATTCATTCCCTTTGCGATGCATTCAGGAGACTGTTAGAAGTGCTAAAAGCGTTCAGACTGAGAACTGCATCTGTCAGATACGTGGTTGTGCTTTGGGGCTTGTGCCAACCTCTCCCTGCTGGGGGATGAGGAGGAGCATTGCTGCATTGCTCGGGGCTCTGTTGGTGTAGCTGATCATGGCAGGGCTTTCCTGCTCTGCCAGGTGCTGGTGCTGCTGGCTGTGGATACTGGAACCGTTTGGACCTTTGTGCTCAAGGCTGCCCATCCTGTGTTATTAAATGTGGTACCTCATAATCTGCTTGGGAGCAGAGCCCTCTTTTAAATGTGATACACAGAAGAACTTTGAAAGAATTGTTAGATAAACTTTGGTGGCACCCAGCAGTGAAGCCACGCTTGCTGCCCTCAGAGGAGCTGGCTGCTGGGGGAGCGCAGTGGCAGGGACTGTTGTGCAGAGTTCTGCTTCTGGGGAAGAACAAGGAATGAGTTTGGAGCCATGAGAGCACGGCGGTTCCTCTGCCTGTGTCTGCTCCATTTTCCCCCTGCATCCCCCAGCTCCACAAACAGCCCTGGTTGGTGGGCAGCTCAGTGCTCTGCTCTTTGCTGGAACCACCGCAGGCAGCCTTGGCTCGCACAGAGCGATAGGTGAAAGTTAACCATGCTGATGCACTTTTGATCTAGGATGTATCTGATTATTTAATGCTTGCCAAATCCTTTAGGAACTGGTAATTAATGAGCAACTGGACTGTGGCTTTTAAAAAAAAATCTTTGTGTTAAATACTTGTCTTTAGTTCTCCTGGTATTAAAAATATGTATATAACATAACTTAAAAACTAAAGTTACTTGAATTTAAATTGTTTTTATCATTTTATATATATAAATATAAATGGTTTTATAGGTTGTTGTTCTGCTTAACGTAGCTGTTTTGATAACTATTCGGTCCTTATGCTGATAAGCCCTTGTGGTTCCTCAGCTGCCTGCATCTGGTTGGAATTGCATAGGAACTTTTGCTGTTACAGTTTGTTAAATCTGGCCAGTGTGGTTGTTCCATTTCTAGTCTTATTTTTTAAAGAGTCGTCATCTGTCAGAAATCTCTTGATAGCTTCATGTACCACGGTGTCTTCTTCTAATAAACATTATATTTTCTCATTCCTGTGAGGTTTTTTTAATGGCTATTCGTTTGAATTTGACTTTGTTAATGGAAAGGAGGTGGCCCAGAGCTGCTTTTCACCTGCTTCCCACACAGAGGTACCTTAATTGTTTTTCAGGAAGAATATTTTGCTGTGGCTCTGTGGAAGCTCTTTTTGTGCTCTCACATGGAGGTTTTTTCTTTCATTATTGCTGTGGAAGCGGGCAGAAAGGGCACCTGAAAGTCGTCCCCCCATCACAGGTGTGAGGGCAGTTTGGGCTCATCCTTTATTCCTCTCCGTAAAGCAGTCTCTTCAACCAAAGCAAACTTGTGGATCATAGCTCTGACCACAGAGCAAGCTCACCGTGAGCCAGAAGCCTGTGGCTGCAGGGATGTGACGAAGCATGAGTTCAGAGGCTAAGATGACTTTCACTTACCTGTTTATTTCTTCACTTCCCCTAAGAGCGAAGGGCCTTGGTGGCCTGCTGTGTAGGGGATGGCTGGTCTGGGCTCATCTGCCAAATTCTTTGTGTTTGGGCTTCCTGTTATTCTTCAGTATCGTTCACTCGAACAGATACAGTACCTCTTAGCAGACTGAAACGGAAAAAGCTGTTTGTTTGCTCTGCTGTTGTGCTGAGAAAGTGCTGGCAGGGCGCTGCTCCTGGGTTTGACATCCTTCTCCCAGGGGAAAGCAGTGATCCAGCGATGCTTCCTGGAAGGAAGGGCTGAGGGTGAATGGTGACCGAGTGGTGGGAAGGACGCCTGAGTTCAGGAGCTTTGCTTAACCCTCTGTAACCCTGTAGGTGCTCGGTTTCCTTTAACCTCCTGCAGGTAGTGCTACCCTTAAGGGAACCCTTTTTCTCCAGTCTCTTTCTAATCCAGTCTCTTTCTTTTTGTCTTTCTTATGTTTTAGATTCCTAAAGGTGTTTGTGCTGGTGCAAGAACCTCGGGGCGAGCTTGTCACAGAAGGAGAAACAAAATGGTCTGTTTACCCTGCAGGCAGTTTAAACATACCCATGGAAAGCCAGACACCCACTCTTGTCTGGAGTTCCCACTTGAAAAATTCAGACCTAAATTCCATCCCAGTATCATTCAGACGCTTGCTCTTTTCCATGGCATGCTACTTGTGGCTCAGATTAACTTACCAGCCTTCCCTGCTCTTCTACCAGCTTGGCACAGCCCTTCCATAAACAAAATAACCAGCACTTCCCCTCCCAGCTCCTCCCAGTGCTGGTCAGAGAACCGCTGGCTGCCCGTTGATGCAAAGGGCACCTGGAGAGTCCCAAGCATGTGCAGGTCTGTCCTCTGTCCTCCCTTGTCCCTCAGTCCATCTGAATGTATGCACTGGTCCATCAGCATTTCACACGGTGCCTTTAGCACTAATCCTGCAGGTAGTTTCACCAGCTTGGAAAGGAGGTGCATACGCATGGTAAGCTGCTCCTGGGGACAGTGTTACAGCAGCTGGACAGGACTCTGAATTGGCAGATATTAAACTTGATCCACATGCATCACTCAGTATTCTTCTTCCCACAAAAAAGTCACTAATACTTTTCAGCCTTTATTTTTTTTAAATCTAGGCTGATGCTCATGCCAAGTATTAAATCCCTATGACCTTGCTGTTGCCTGAAAGCCTTCAAGCTCACGTATGTACACTTTCTTTCCTGCTTGTTCTCTCGCCCCTTCCCCTTTATTGCCCCCTCCTTTCTTCCTCCTCTCCCTCACACACACAGACACACACACACACCGGCGTTTTGGTTTGAAGCCCCGTTCTGCTCATCACAAAGACCTCCATTTTGCTCTTGTTTCAGTCTGCATGCTCGCCCTGTTGCCTTGCCTGCGCCCACCTTCCCAAGGGCCGCATTATTTTGCGGCTCGTTGTTAATCTCTTTGCAGTTTTCTTTTGTCGGTTTGTTTTTCAGCATTTCAGACCTACCTTCTTCTTTTGCATGACCTCTTGTGCGTTCTCATCAGTTAACGTTTGAATAACAGAACTTTTTTTAGAAAAAAAAAAAAAAATAAAGGAGAAAAGAAAAAAACTGCACTCTATTTCGTTCTCCCACGTTGTCATGGACTGGACCTTGGCCCAGAAGCCAGCCCTCAGCCATCCTGTTCTCACACGGTTTTATCTGAAGCAGAAGCGCTGCGGCACTGGGTCACCTCATGCTTCTATCTCCAAATACGTTGCATGACCCAAGCTGCCTAACAAAGGGGTCAATTGCTTTCCAGATCTCTGTACTACAAATGCATTGGTTTCCCTGAGCCTTCACTGTTGCTAAGTTGTCACAGTAATCCTGTACCTGGTTAAGCCCTGTAAGAGTCTGTTGCTCCTTGTAGCTCCTGAGGGTCTTACTTATCCTTAGCCAACCTTGCCTATCCTTAAACCAACCCATCGTTTGGGGCAGTCTGCTTGCTCTTAGGGAACTTCAGCATCTCTTGTAACATCCCCAGAACTGGAGGAAAATTTGTATGGGAGCTGCTGTGGCTGATGACCCTGAGATGAAACCTCACAGGCGTAGTTTGCAGATGTGTGCGTGGTGTTCTGCTGCCAGCATGCAGGCACGTGTCCCAGAATCATCTGCTCTCCATGCTGGGGTTTGCCTTGGTCTTCCTCACTCGGGATGAAGTCATTTTTGAATTAGCGTTGTCTTCAGAACTTTGTCCCTTTCCCTTTGAGATACCCGCTTTTAATTTCCATAGCAGAAACCCCTCAGTCGGTCCTGAGCCGCTGTACTGCACTGCTTACAGCCTGCAAGCATCAACCAGCACCAGGTTATGTTTTAATGTGACCGAAGTGGAGCCTGCGCTGCGGGCAGGGCTGACACCTCGGCCTTCTGGAGCCAGAAGGGCCCTCTGCACTCAACCTGCCATCTCCATCACGTGAGCCCGGATCTGTGAGCCTCTGAGAGCAGCAGTGCCCGTGGCTTTGTGCAGGTGTGTGACAGAGCTGTGTGCCACCCCTGGGGGTCTGAGAGGTGAAGCAAGTGTGCAAGAATGGCCATAGGATATTTTAGCTGCAGTGTTTTATTCTCGTGTCTGATGCACTGTCGAATCAGCAGCGAGGGGAGTTCATTTGCACCTCTCATCGTGCCATCTGTGTCAAACTTTTATCTAAGTTTGCTTTTATATATTTAATCTGGGTGGACAGTATATTATTGTCAGCCTCTGTGGAGCGTTGGGGCAGTTGCGGCGTCTGTTGTTCAGTAGCACTGTAGAAGGAGCGTTAGCTTTAGCTGCCTGTCTTTGAAAGAGTTGTATAAAAAAGGCCACAGATGGGGTTTTTATAAACTGGGTGAGCAGCTCCCTGCTGCCTGGATCTGCAAACTGAACACAAGAAAAACGATGGACAGTCGCGTATGTTGTAGCCTACAATCTCTATTCTGCTGCCTTCCTTCAGGGTAAAGAACGGGTAACCTTGGTCAGTTTACCTTATACAAAAGCAGAAGGACTGAATATGTGCACTGGTTTATCAAAACTCTGCTTGAACTTCTCCTGCCCGGAAGTGGGGACTGCACAGCTGCAAAACCCTGATGTCCCCAGCAAGTCTCTAACGCCCTTTCTTAACATCTGTAAATAGAGAAGAAACATATTTACTGATACTGAAAGTTGTGTTTAATGCTGAGTATTTTTCAGAAGTTCATTTAGTTTGATGCATATTGTTTGTTATTTTTTTCCTGCCTGAAGTGTCAAAAAACCTAAAAGAAGCCAAATTCTATTTTAACATGATGATGTCGAGCACTTTTTTATTTGTATATGTGTGTGTATGTGTGTTTGAGCACTGATCTCTAGATTTTGGTGGCATCTCAGTGTTGTGATTTCATTGCCAATGTAAAAGGTTCTGGTGTTGCCCATTTGTTTCTGGAGACAGAATTCAACCAAATAAAGTGCTTCCATTTGAAAGCAAATATTGACCTTGTAACAATGAAAGTCATCCACATATTTAAATAAACCTTTAATTCCAGAAGCACAGTTTCACTGCACCCCTTTGATCTTGCAGGGACAGATTAAAACGGTTTTGTTCCTTTTGTTTCCCCATAAAAAAGACAAAGCCTCTGCTGGGGGCTCTCTGATAGAGTGAGGCTTTGGGCCTACAGCTCCCCAGTGACCTTTCTGCCTTTCCACAGCCATTTCTAGCTGAGAAGGGCTCTGAGCTGCGACCTTCTGCTTCAGCCAGGTACCGGTGTGACAGCCTGCTGTGTTCAGAATGATGGCATTCTCATGGTACTTCTTTCTTGGTTTTGTTTTTCATACAGGAATTTGCAGGTGTTTGAGTACTAACGGGGCTCTGAGACGCACTGTCTCTCTTTGAGATGCTGTTCTATCAAACTGCCCAGCTAGCAAAAAGGTGGTGTGGTTTTATGGGTTGGTTTTTTGGTTGATTTTTTTTTTTTCTTCTGTTGTTATTTTAAACTTTCTGACTTCACCTATTAGCTCAGTTCACTGGAAGCAGCTTCAGCCAGGAGCCATGAAGGTGTGCAGCTCATGGTCAGTGATGCTTCACTTGAAGTAGCTCTGTAGAGATCTAAGGTCAGATTGCTGTTTCAACAATTTCATTTGTTCTTTGCCAGCACTAATTAACATCCCTGTCAATTAAGGACAGATCAGTACTGTTTATCAGTGTGCTAGAAAGGATGTCAAAAGCAGAGAGGAAACTGAGCTGAGAGATGTGCTCCATGTCTTGGTGCTTTTCGGAAAACAACGAGCCGGAGGGAGCATCAGTCTGGCTGTACCTCTGATTTATCTTCACCAGTAGAAGCACTGCTAACTTCACATAGAAACAGAACAGAATGACTGAAGACAGGAACCTGAAGCCAAGGTGAGCAGCAGCTAGGAGGAAAATGAAATTGAGCTTTACCTCCACCAGATGTGTTACTGAAGGTACAGGATGCTGTTTGGCCATTCAGGAGGGTGGAGATGCATCACTGGCAACCACAGGCACCAGGATCAGGCTGAGGCAAAGGATGGCCAAGGGAAGCTGTGGGGTGAAGTTCCACTATGCTGGCTGTGCACCATGGAAGGAAGA